TTTTTAACAGGAACTAAGGTTTTGCCTGCCTTCAAGTGGGTAGGTTGTTTTAACTAACGTTCTCTGGATGCCTGCAGGCCTCCTTGTCATGCTGAGGAAGCTGGAGAAGAGCAGAGGGAAACTCCAGTTACACTACCAGTTGAAACCTGGTAGAGGCTGTGGGGACATAATTGACCCACTGTTTTAAGGGTGTGAATGGGACTTGTAAATGCTCCAAAAAAAAAAGGGCAGATTTGTGGCTTTTTAAATGGGCTACTCCATCTATTGACATCTGCAGTGGAATCCCAGGCATGAGGAGGGTGTTGTTGAAGATGAGATACCAGTCTGGAGGGATCTGGAAATACCTAAGCAAATGCCGAGCGTGGGATAGAGCAGCCCCATATATTGGGCCAGGCTGGGAGCAGCTCTGTAAGCATTGCAAGGGCCAGGTGTGCAAACAGCATTCCACTGAGCCAGCCATCTCACAGCCTGGGGAGCCGAGCCTATTTGGAATTGACCCCATGGAAGTATCTCCAAGGGAAAAGGCTTGCTAGCCTGCAGTGTTCATCACGCCCAACGTTTCCAGTGGAGTGACAGCGAATTCTCAGGCCAATGCTGTCCTCGAGGCTCTCCGTGGTGAAGGGATGTGGTGGTCATGTGGTAGGAGGTAGGTCCTGGGAAATTCTTTGAGCTCTGAGCAGCGTTTTTTCCTTCCAGAATCACTGAGGTGTGCCATTTTCCAGACAGCCACCTTGGGCTGCCCAGGTTCCAGGGCATGTATCCTTTATGGATGTATTGAGACGATAGGAAAGCTGGGCATGATGGGCAACAGAGCCCTCTTTTATTTCATTTTTCTTTTTTCTCTTCTTCCCACCATGCAGGGAACGTGCATATTGCTGCAAATCAGGTGCAACTCAGCAGCCTGATGCAACAAAACCACACCTCACTGTGTCACTGTCCTGCACTGGGGCACAAACAGGGACACACATTCACCCTGCAAGCTATTTAGCCACGTGGGATCAAAGTTAGAGTCACACCAGGAGGGTTTCAAAGTTTCAACACCACTTTGTACCAGTTCATTCTTGACCCTTTCATGGTTGTGGCCCTTCTACCTGCCCAGCCCTCCCCCCAAAAAAACATGGCTCAGGTCACACTGGGGCCACAGAGCGTCCTTACCAATGCCATGTCCACAGCCTTGTCACAGCCCTCTCCTGAGCAGCACTGAGGTGATGAACACTCCCATGCCAGCAGCACACGGCTGTTTTCTCCGGTGCTGGTTTTCAGCAAGGTTAGAGTAATGCTGTGGGGGAGGGAGGTGTCTCAGCAAACTGGGTGGGGACAGAAAGAAACGGTGCATCAGGTGAGGGAGGCAGTGCAGACTGTTGTGAACTTGGTGTGTGGTAGGGAAGGGAGAAGCCAAAGCAGAAAGAATGAGGAGGAGAAATGGGAGCCCTGCCAAGACGTAGACTGCAAATGTAATGGCCACAAGGGACATGGATGTTAAGGGACAGGCAACACTGCTTGTTGCAGAGGTGCTGGCCACACCTGAGTGCAGAAGGAAGACAGAGATACATGATCCCAGGATCCAGAGTATGACTGCAAATGTCTGCCTTTGTAAACAGACCCAAGCAGAAAACATGCTTGTGTTTCAATGTTAAATTCAGGGGCATTAATAGAACCAGGGCAAACCTGGCCACCCATACCCTCTCACACACCCCACGATGATGTGATGTTGAAACCAGTTTCAAAAGGTAGATGTTTAACTTCAGAACCATGTGCCATTGTCCAAAGAGGCTGTGTGTTCCCTCCCTGCTTTCAAAAGGGGTTTCTTTTTCCACCTCTGTTGCAATGAGTTTGCTGTTGTCACAGTAACAAAGGCAAAACAAGTCAGGCTGGTTTTCAGCAAGAAAAATAAGCATAAAAATTAAATGTTTTCCTTACATTACAATTATGTTCTCCAGTCCTTGTTATTATCCAGGAACTTCAGACTCAAAATGGAAACATTTTTAGCCCCATAAGCTGGAAGGGATAATTTGGTACATGTAAAAAGATCCCTTCCTGAGTCTAAACCCCACTTAAATTAATTCATTGTCACCAGCCAGCAACTAAGCTCTGAACAGCCACTCACTCATTTCCCACAGTGGGATGGGATGGGATGGGATGGGATGGGATGGGATGGGATGGGATGGGATGGGATGGGATGGGATGGGATGGGATGGGATGGGA